TCCCGGCCGCTGGGTTTTCCAGGGAGCTGGGACCCCCAGCACTGTCCCACCAACCTCCAGCCAGGCCCGGCAGCCTTGTCCCGCCGACCTGCGGCCGGTCTGTGCCGGGCCTGGCAGCTGTGTGCATGGGGCCAGCTTCCGGTGAGGCCCTCATGCAGAAGCTCAGGCTGTTCCTTGGCTTGGGGGCCATGTAGCCTGCGGTGCCAGAGACTCCTGTGGCCTCAGCAGGCAGTTTCTGCACTCGCCCCAGGGGTTCTGGGGAGATGCCGGTAAATCACTGGCTCATGCCCAGGTGCCATGGCTGGGTTCAGTGGGGGCAGGGTAGCCTTGGGCCCTTTCCGGTGAGGCCCTCATGCAGAAGCTCAGGCTGTTCCTTGGCTTGGGGGCCATGTAGCCTGCGGTGCCAGAGACTCCTGTGGCCTCAGCAGGCAGTTTCTGCACTCGCCCCAGGGGTTCTGGGGAGATGCCGGTAAATCACTGGCTCATGCCCAGGTGCCATGGCTGGGTTCAGTGGGGGCAGGGTAGCCTTGGGCCCTTGTCAGCATCAGGACCCCTAGGCTGCCGCAGGGACAGAAGCCGTCTCTTTGTGAGCAGAGCCTGGCTCCACCCAGCCCAGCTCCCTGGCATCCAGCCCCCAGCGTGGGGCTGCCCGCAGGCCAGCACCTCCATCCTGCGCTCAGCGGCTGCGGGGGCAGCGTCCCAGCTCTGGGCCGGTGCTGCCTGTTGGGCCTCGGGTGAATAAAGAAATTGCACATCACCTGCTGCTGGTGCTTTCTTGCGCCGGGGCAGCCCCTCTCCCGGGCACGGTGGCTGAGCAGCCGGAGCGCCAGGGTCCTGCGGGCATGAGGGTAAGAGCCCGACGGGTGAGCAGTGCAGCCCCTCTCGGGGCCCCAAACCTGCCTGTGCTCGGGGTCTGCGGGACTCAGGCCGTGGGCCCTTGGCGAGAAGGGCGGCCGGAGGGAGGGAGAGAACCTCCCCTTGCTGCTGCCACAGGCGCTGCCCCCTTGCCCTGGGGCGGGGGAGACGGCCCGGGCTCAGTCCTGGCACCTGAGGCTGGAGAGCTCTGGGGAGCCGCGTGAAGCGGGCCCGGGGCCGACCCCCCTGCGGACAGGGCAGG